GGGGGGGAGGGGGGACGATCGCGTGCGCACCGAGGCCACAGCAGCATGACCACCTCGTGCAGGAAGGAGTCCAGAATCGGGACACGCCGCGTGCGCATGATGTTGCGCACGGCACTGGCAATCCGAACACACAGCAGCAGGCAGAGGGCGTCGAATTCCGACGGCAGGTGCGTGCGCAGGTTGGACTGAGCCGATGGAGTCCCGGGAGAAAAAAAAAAGTGTGTGTGTGTGTGTGTGTGTGTGTGTGTGTGTGTGGTGAGTAAAGGCACTTGCCAAACAAGCCCCAGGGAGGGGGGAGCGAGCGGCCGACAACCAACGGCGAGGGAAACAAAAAGGAAAGGTAGAACTCCCAAAAACATGGGCGCGTAACGCACAGCCACCGCCACCAGGGCCGGCTCATAAACCCGCTGGAAGAGGGCCGCCGCGGTGTCACCGCGGGCGCCGAAAAACTCCCACAGGAAGAGGTACTCGCCGGAGGCATTGTCCGCCAGAGCCAGGAGCTGCGAGCGGAAGATGGTTTCGAAGTGCAGCTGCGCCTTGTCCATGGTGTGCGGGACAATGATGTCCCCGCCATCGCCGCTGAGGGACCCGTGGATGAAGGACCCGAGGGCGGCATCATCGCGCTCGCCCAGGCCGAACAGCCGCGCGGCCTTGGTGAAGTAGTCGTTGACCGTCTCGGCGGTGGCCGACGAGCCGGACCCGGACAAGAGCCCGGAGGCACTGGACCCGCTGGAGCCGCCGCCCACCAGCGACAGGGTGGCCAGCGAGGAAATGCTGCTGAGCAGGCCGCGCGAGCGGGTGGACGCCGCGAAGGCGGCCGACAGCTCAGGGTCATCAATGGCGATGAGATCCGCCTCGGAGACGAAGCAGTGCTGTGTCAAGAGGGAGCGCGAGGGGGGAGGGGGGGGGGGGAGAAAGCCGAGGGCATATGCCGACGTTAGATGCAGGGGATCCATGCACACGCGAGGAGGGGCGAGAAGGAAAACGAGGGGAGCTGGCGCACGCGCGCAGGCCAACGCACCCAGAGCTTCTGCGTGGAGGACACGTAGCGGCCAAAGTGCCGGGAGTAGTACTCGCGCATCTGGTTGATGTAGGCATCGCGCAGTTCGCGGGACTCGCGCTCGGGGGCCTCGCTTTCCAGGAAGCGCCACAGCTTCTTCAGGTGCGCCGAAGTGGAGAGGGCCTGCTGCTGCATGGCGGCGTTGGAGCGCGAGGCGCCGGAGCCGCCAGCGCCGCCAGCGCCGCCAGCGCCGGTCGGCTTGGTGATCGAGTGGATGCGCTCCAGCAGATGCTCATAGGACCGGGCACAGGCGGCCAAGCGCAGGCGCTCCAGCTCCGGCAGCACGGACGCCAGGGCCGGCGGCATGCTCGGGTAGGCCAGGCCCGTCAGGGGCTGCCCTTCGGCCGAGGCATCGACCACGGCCGCCGGCGGATTGGCCAGCGGGGTTTGGGGAGCCTGGCCGGGGCCGCCGCGCGCCGAGGTCGGCGACGTCGGGGCCGAGGGGGCCGGGCTCGGCGGAACAGACCCATGGGCCCCCATGCCCGGGCGCCGGGGGGTAGCCGGCTCGGCCGGGTGGCCGGCGGCTGTGGACCCGCCAGCCGAGCCTCCCGACGCCGCGGTGCTCCCGCCGCCGACGGCACCCAGCGTGGCCACGGACACAGCGCCGGTGGCCACCGAGGCCGCGCCGCTGGCCACCGACACGGCACCGCTGGCCACGGTGGACGCCGCGCCGGCGACCACCTGCGCCGCGGCGCCGAGCACATAGCCGGCCGTGGCCGTCAGGCCGGACCCACCGGCCGACGGCCCGCCGGCCGACCGGCTAAAGAGAACCCGCGCCGAGGGGGTGGTGGCGGCATGCGCCGAGGAGGCACTCAGCAGGGCCGAGGCACTGGAGTCCCCGCGGGCCAGGGTCCGCACATCGCGCAGGCGCTCGGACAATTGGCCGAGGGCCGTGGCGAAGGCCTCGCTCGAGGGCTCGGCCTTGAGGATGGCCGCCGACAGGGTGGCCGGGAGGTCCACACGCCGGCGGAAGGCCCCGAGGCCCTCGGCCGCGGCCTTGCGGTTGCGCGCGCGCGCCGCATGAGCCCGAGCCCGGGCCTGTAGCTCGCGCATTTCGCCGCTGCGCTCGTCCAGTGCCGCGCGGTGGGACTGCAGGGTCTCGCCCAGGCGCTGGAGGATCTCATCACACTGGTCGATCTCCCGCGACAGGGCCTCCAGATCCGACCGCTGGGAGATGGTGGCCTTGACGGAGTCCCCCTCCAGGGTGGCCAGCTGCCGGGCCAGCTCGCGGCCGTGGTTGTGCAAGTTGGCCCCCGAGAGAGACCCCTCGGTGCCGGAGGACCCCGGGGCCAGGGCCGCCCGCAAGGCCGGCGGCACATCCGGCGATGTGAGCAGCGCCTCGAGCTGCCGATCGAAGAGGTCGAAGTCGATGGCCGGCAGGTTTTCCATGGCCGCGATGTCCGGCGAAAGGGCCGCCTGCTCGCGCATCGAGTTCACCCGGTCCAGGTCCCCGAGGATGCTGGACATGATGGCGTCATTGTCCTGGGCGCCGGCGGCGCCGGCGGCGGCCGTGTTGGCGGGGCTCGCGGTTGGCGTGGCAGTCGGGCCCCGCGGGCCGCGCATCTTGGCCAGACCGAGCATGCTGGTGGTGGTGGCGAGCAGGGGGAGGGAGGCAGCCGCTGGATTTGAGGGCGCAGGGGCGAAGAAAAAGGGAGGGGAAGCGAGGCGCCTCCTGCTACTGGGGGGGGGGACGCGTTGGAGAACTCCCTGTGGGATGCAGGCGCGGGGGGTAGGGAGTGCGGAGGGATCAGAGAGAGAGAGAGAGGCAGAGGGAGAGGGGGGAGGAAAGGGAGATCAGGCAGGCAGGGGGGGGGGGGGGGGGGGCCGAGGGGAGCACCGACAGTGGTGCTCGATCAATGGGAATCTCCCCGCATCACAGGCCGCCCTCGGGCCGCACCACCGCGGCTGGCCAGCCGGAGGAGGGCGGCAGCCGAAAAGCGGCAGCCGGCGGCCTCCGTCCTGGCCTGCACGACCGCGTGATCCGCGCGCCACATGAGCGGGTGTCATGGGTTGTCGGGCGAACCTGCTAGAGCGGGCCCCGCTCCGTGGCGGGCTTCTTCGGGTGCCGCTGTGCTGGCCTGGCAGGTGTGCGCGACGGCCCAGAATTCATGCCCATCCCTCCGGTCCCGCCTGCTCATCGTGCGTCAGCCCGCCTCCCCCCCCCCCTCCCTTGCCGCGCTGGTATCTCCTCCCCCTTCCCCCCTCCCCCTAATCCCTCTGCCATGTGCGATGAAGAGTTTATCCTTGCCCTCGAAGCGCCTGGTCGGGTTGGCCGGTCCTTCCGGCCACCGCGCCTGGCGCTCATGCGAGACAATTTGTAGTCCGCCTGGGTGCATGTGTGTGCGCCCGCGCGCGTTCAAGTGCGGCCCCTGTCCGCCCACCCGGCCTCTCTCTCTCTATCTCTCTGGTCCGCGCTCGCAGTCCAGGCAGGTACGAGGCGCCGGTGGGGCGGGGGCTGGAGGCCGCACCTGAACGCGCGCGGGCGCACGCACATGCACACACCACCGGGCGGCTGAGCTTTGCAGACACTTTTCCCTCTCCCCACCAGCCCCCCTTTCGCCAGACACCATGCTAACCCCCTGCCAGCAGGCTCCATCCCCCGCACACCCGCACACCCGCACACCCACACAGCGTGCTTGGGTCCACACGCACGAGCCTCGCCCAGCCGGATAGATCGCTGGCACGCGAGAGGCCGGTCGAAGGAATGGAGAGGAGGATACCGGCCGCAGGCAGGTGCAAGCCACAGAGCGACACGCGGACAGCAAAGCCCCAGGACAGAGAGTGGTGTGTATGGGAGTCCGCATGTGGCTGGCCATTCACCAGAACACCTTGTGCAGCCGGACGAAGGTCCGCCGGCCGCCGGCGCGGGACACATGCAGCAGCAGCTGGCGCTTGGTCGGTGCCGGCCCAACCGCCTCGTTGAGCGCGGCGCACAGGGCCGCCGCGGCCGCCTCATACGGGGCCGGGTCGCCGTCGGCGGTGCCGGTGGCGGCCTTCATCAGAGCGCCAGCTGCCTGGGTCACGGCCTCGGTCAGCCGGTTCCCCAAGATCGACATGACTCCCAGGACGGTGGCCAGCAGGTCGGCTGCCGGGCCGCCGGCTCGGAAGTGGTCCAGCGCAAGGACGGTGGTCAGGCGGCTGACGGCCCCCGGGGTCGCCGCGACGGATGCATAGAAACGGACGGCCTGGCCCGGGGCTCCGGCATGCGTGCTGGCCAGCTGCCCGACATCCAGGTCGCTCCAGAGGGCGGCGGTTTCGTGGCCGCGGCTGCCGGGGCCGGCTTCCTGGAGGAAGCCCAGCTGGAACTCCGCCAGCCAGGCATCCATCAGGACATATGAAGTGTGGAGAAAGTGCGCGAGGGAGACCGTGTTCATGGCCCCGGCGGTCATGACGTTGCCCTCCTCGGCGTATGAGGCCGAGTTCAGGCACCGGAGTAGCTCCCTGGCAGGAGGAGCAAGGGGATCGGCGGG